ACCTAAAAGCGAAGCAGTTTTGGACCTAAAAACAAAAATATGATGTGCTTTATGTATGATTCAGTATAACTGGTGGAACCCGGTCCAGGATATTCTCCTTTACTGGCCACAGTGGCTGATCATCATCCTGCTGGAGACTTTGTGGCTGTGCTTAACTTTCCTCATGCCTGTTCCCAACTGCCCCACGTAAGTCCGGACATGACTCCCTCTGTCATATAGCATTTCAGGTCAAATCTCCTCACTAATGCATCGTACACTTAGGCTAAAAGCATAAATTTCCTATGTGTCGAAGCTGAGATAATCTCCAGTTGGGCCTGTTTGTGCTGCAACAGTGTGAGTGTGCACCTTGTGTTGCAGGTGTTATGAACCGTTGTGATTTATGGGCCCGTGGTGGATGCTTCAGAGAGCCTAATTAGCCAATCTCAGTCTGTCATGTGCAATAAGAGGAGCGGAGGCAGAGGATCCATCTTCCTCGCTCTGTGTCTTCTGCTTTTTGTCTTTTGTTTTTTCCCTTCTCTGTGACCCTGCATGACATCACGTTTACAGTACTGTGGGTTCAAGCTGTAGCACTTTTTCCTCTCAGTCCTTCTGTGTCTTTTCATCTGATTGAGTTTTGGGTTTTTTCTTCCTTGAACGTGAGGCGTGAATGTGTGGTGGCTTGAGACACAACTGCTGTACAGGGTTTAAGAATATTAAAATCATCTTTGGTATTAGAACACCGAGCGTTCTCTGCTGCATCTGGGTATTGTGTTTTCATATAAACACAAAACACTTCATTAAACATTGTTTTTTGTAATAACTACAGCTACAATAATTATGTTCTTGTTTGATAACAGAGGGTATTTAGGAGCCGGTGGAATTGGCGATAACGGGCTTTACCCAAACTGCACGGGAGGTGCAGCGGGATACATCGATAGGTGGATGTTTGGTGATAACATGTACAGATACCCCACGTGCAAAGTAGGAATGTTCATCACATATTGCAATACAATCCTTCTGCTATAAACCAATGTAGGTGAAATTATAAACTGCTTGGTTTTGTTTTGCTTTTTCCAGGAAATGTATCGCACCACACAGCCCTTTGACCCAGAGGGGGTTCTGGGTACCATCAACTCCATTGTCATTGGATTTCTAGGGATGCAGGTAAGATCTAAGTTTCTCCTGTACGATGCAGTGAGTGGCATGAGTGGTAAAAAAAAGTCTTAGTCCTGCCTTAATAAATGGCTTGCTTCTGCTAAGTTTAGTCCAAGTGTCTGCATTTTTAGTGACCTGCATAGGCAGATCTTGACAATTGTCCATTCCACCACATCCCAAAGGTTCTGTATTGAATAGAGACCTGATGACTGTAGTAAGCTTTATAATATGCTGCGTGTACCCACCAGGTGATATGTACACTGTGGTCACAAAGCGATGGACTGATTGGCAATAATACTCAGGTTGGCTGTGAAGAAGAATGCTCAGTGGGTACTGAGTGTGCCAAAAATATTTCCGACACCTGATAACAGCACCACCACTAGCCTGAACTGTTGATACAGTGCAGGACAGATCCACTCATATGTTTTTTATGCCAAATCTGTATTTGTTCACTATTCATTTAGGTAAAATTAAAAAATTATCTATGCCTTACGTAGTTTTGGTTAAATTGTTTAAATCAGCTTTTAAACTCTGCAAAATTAACAAGCTAAATGTCCCAGTCCTCTTTAATGTAGACAACACTCATGGTCATGTGGTTGCTGGAGTCCAGCCCAGCTGGTAGACTGGCATCCTGTTCAGGTTGTAACCCGTAACCCAGTATCACAGGGCTAATATGTAGAGACAGTGAACTGCTGGCATTCATATTTACACCAAGTTAGAATCTCCAGTTAACCTAACGTGTGTCTTTGGGCTGCTTGAGAAAGCTCGATTACCTGGAGAGAACCAATGCAGTCGCTGGGAGAATCTGTACAGTCCACACAGAAAGACTCCAGCTGGTTTGTGGCTTCAAACCCAGAATCTCTTTGCTGTGAGATGACAATGCTAACCACTGCACCACTGTACCGTTAACTGAGAAAATAGTTGCCATGAAGTGATTTTGAACATAAAAAATATATGTATGTTTTGTGTTTTCAAAATGCATTGCAAAAAAACCTTAAAGTTTTATTTGCCTCCACTGGACTTGATCCTGAATAGAAACTGTACATTTTAGAGTCTCTGCAGGTTTATAAAACATTAAAAGTACACAACAAAATACTTTATTTGATTTTTTGATTTAATCAAAAAGCCCACTTATTCAAATAGGTCTTATAAACCCACAACTAGTGGTTTATGGCTTCATCTACCTGAACGTGGTTCTGCCTGATATTTCTTCCTGTCAAACGGGAGTTTTTCCTTCCCACAGTCACCAAGTGCTTGCTCACAGGGGGTTGTCTGATGGTTGGAGTTTTCTCTGTATTGTTGTATGGTCTTTGCCTTACAATATAAAGCACTTTAGACAACTGTTGTTGTGATTTGGCACTATTTTAATAAAGTTTAATTGAATTCAACTGAACACAAAAACAAAAAGCAGACTGAAAATATCTTAGAGACAGGAAATGATCAGAACCTTCTGAAGATGTGACTTTAAAATACTCAGTTTGACTTGATTAGACTGAAAGTTTTAATGGCTTCATTGTGCAGACAGTGATGCTCTTCAATGTTAATATGTTAATATAAACCTACAGTGTGACTACAGTAAAGATTATGTGACAGATGTTTTCCTGTCTCACTGTAAATGCACAGCTGCCCTACTTTAATGACAAAATGCTGTTAGAAAGTAGGAAGGCCCCTTTGTTCTTCAGACCTGCGTCTCAGATGGTGACAGTGGCACTTATAACCATTTGGGTTGTGGGAAGGTAACATGAAAAAGTGACCCCATTGCTCAATTCCCCGTGGGCGGTTTGCTCTGAGCCCTTCAGTCAGCGAGTCTTAGACGACACACCAGGTGTCCGCTGGCTTCCTCTGTGTTGGTCCATGCTAATGTTCTCAGCTGAAACATATTCATCATCACCAAATTAATCAGAGGGTGCGGATGACTAACACCCCACATCTGGCTCCATGGGATAGGAGAAACGTGACCGCCATGTCAGGGACGTGGCATCGACAGCCACATCCCAGGCCTATTTGGTTACCCAAGGGCAAGTACGCGGACACACCGGGTGTTGGTGTTTATGTGGTATTTCTCATTAAAGAGATGAGTGAATAGGCTGTGGGGTCTGTACTTATTTCTGCCTCTTTCTTTCACAGGCGGGGAAAATTATAATTTTCTACAAAAAGATGAATATCCAAATCCTGTGCCGATTCCTAGTGTGGACTGTCATCCTGGTACGTGGAGGTTTTAAGCAGAGCTGCTGTAGGAAATGAATATAAAGTCAGTTGTTAATTTAAAACCAAGACACCCAATAAGTGTCCTGCTCCTGTGATTCACTCAGAGCCGAGCACTTTTATGGTCTCAGTGTTTCACTTCAGGTGAATTCTGCAACGTGTTTTCCAGCCTCTTGGGTATTAGTCATACTGTAGCTTGCTGAAGTCATTCATTAGCAGGACTTAGCAGAGGACATGTGTGTGATCTCAGTACAATTAAACAACATCCATGTGTGGCTGTGTTTCCGGGCAGACATGGGTATCCGGACCCTCGGGGGAATACACGCTGCGTCTCGTTGCCTCTCTGTGCTTTACATGTGGTTTTGGATTGGAAGAGTTATGCATATTACTTACAGTCTGCTGCAAGCATAAAAGCATCTACTCTAAGAGTATGATCAGTTTAGGAAGCTGCAAGCGAGGGCTCAACAAGCAAACCAAACATGGCAGATTTAAGAAAGGAATTATTAAAGTGCATTCAAACCTAAGATAAAAAGGTAATGCCTGTCTGAAAAGCTTTTAAGGTCATATTTGTTTGATATTTCTGCTCATTCTGGGTGGTCTTAAAACACAAAAAGAGCCAGGCTGGCCTCCATTCCATTTAGAGGGGGAATGCGTCCCCCAGGGAGAAGCCAAGTGTTACAGGAGATGGCTTGTTTTGTATTTCTAAACCTGTGACAGGAGGCTGCTAGTCTGCTCTAGCAAGACTGACAGACAGACACGTAGGAAGGCCAGTCTCCGCTGAACTGTGCTTGCCGCTGTTTTTATGTACGTGCAGCGTGATGCTCCAGAGATATAGCTCATTTGTGAAACGGGGTTAGGAGGAGCCTGCGTGCTGTGGAGGCAGACATCCTGAACCGGCAGCTCTGTGACCTGGAGCGATGATAGAGCTGGAAGAGCTGGCTGCATCACACGGCCTTTGAAATCAAGCTGCGCAGGACGGAAAAACTGTGCAGCGAAAGAAAAAACACACAGAAGCAGGGAAAGACTTGTCTGAAGTTCTGTAGTTCCAGTATATTTGGGTGCCTTTTCTGTCCAGCTTTGGGTATCAGGTTCCTTCAGAGTGTTATGTGTATGACTGCAAGACGTTTATTTATTTATTTGACACATGAGTTGAAACAGCGTTGAAGGTTCTGGTGTTCAAGAAATTGTTTATTTTATTTACTATGATGTCATAAGGTTTTTCAGGTCAAATCTGTTTATTTTCGTAGTCTAATGTGTCCAAAACAATATCTCAGTGAAGTTTTAAAGGTCTGTAACAGCAGCGTTTTTCCATCCAGACAGTATTTTCCAAAAGGACAGTAGGAAGAGGAAAAAAGTCTCCTGTGTAAGAAACTCAGTGACAGAGTCCTGCTCGTATATGTGAGAATCAATTGAAATTCTGCTGCGAGGATTTAACGTCATTAACCTCACTTCTTAAAGGACAAAGCTCCATTATGTCTCCAGGTGTTGAATCTTATTGACTATCATTGTGCGATGAGTGGCTGGAGGGAGGTGACATAAATTAGATCCATTTAGCTTCTCCCAGCGGCGCACAGTGACAAAGTAGCTCATGCTGTCATAAATAAACATTAGGCTTTAATGTTTTTTCCACTGTATCTCATTGTTTACCAGCTGATAGATGCTGCGGATGCTACTGAAGATTACAGTGTTGGAGGTGCGATATTCTGGATCTTACAGTATTTAGATGTGGCTCAACAGAGTAGCTTAAATCCTGGTTAGCTGAAATAGAAAAATGCAATAGAGTAGATTTTCTCACATTGCATCGGCTGGCAGTGAGAGCAGACCATCGTTATTGATTTTAGGAACAGACACAGGAATAAAGAATCAGCGTAGCATATATTTGTTTCACCGTTTCTGCACGTGTATATTTGATTTGATTTTTTTAATCTCAGTGGTTAAGTCTATTTTTGGTTGTATGTCTTACCAACACAGAAAGCAAAATTAGTTTTAGCGATTGGCCTGCTCTTGATATTGACTTTTGTAATAAGATTTCGGCTCAAAGGGGGAGGCAGGAAGCAGAGCCGAGCTGCCTTTTGTTTCAGACATGTGCTCTTAACATTAGCAGGTTTCCTCAGAGGAGGAGAAAACTTATTACTGCACGCACCCGACAACAGGGTCGGCGTTAAGCAGAGGAAAAACAGAAAGTGTGGATACAGTAAACATCAGGCCATGGTTTATTGTTTTGTGATCTCTGTGGCAGGCTGATATTCACAGGCAGCCATGTGTCTTCCTCATAATAAACAGCAGCCCCTGTTAATTAAAGTCCAACGATCAGGCTCCAGAAGTGAGAGATTGAAATTGAGCGATTGCCCCACATACCAGCCCCATCCCACATCCTGCTGCCTGGATAGCCTGGAGACTCAATCCAGCCCCAGCTAGGCTATTTCCACACCATCGATTCTGTCATCTATACACATGATGGATATCCACCTAACGAGCATGTTTGGATCCTGATCCGCTGTCCTGGGTTTCTCTGTGCAGCACAAAATCTTTCTTCATGTATCTAAATCATACATGGAGGGTGGGGGATAGTTAAGACTATGAAAGTGCTTACTGATGTAGAGTTGAGCAGATCATGAGTAAATATGAACATGGAGTCAGCTGGGCCTCAGTGTGTTGGACTTTGTAGATGCCTCTCGGTGGTGTTTTACTGTAGTGACAAACCCACATTTTAATGTTTTTCAGCTCATTGTTTTGGTGTGTTTGCAGTCCTGTCTAGTGTTTTGTGTGTGTGTATAAGTTAATGGACCATGTCCACGTAACTCTGATTGTCGGTTGATCTGGTGGACTCTGCTTGATACTGTTGCCTCACATTTTAGCAGCCCGATACAGATTGCTTTATCGCCCTCCATCGATTTGAAATCTGTTTCATTTCCACCCTCAGGGAATCTCCGCAGCCATCCTTTCTAAGTGCACGCGAGACGGAGGATTTATACCTGTCAATAAAAACCTTTGGTAAGTGCTTCCTGACCCTCTAAATCCAGCCACTTTTCCTCACAAAAAAAGAAAGGATGGGATTTCCAACAGACACAAATCAAGGCTGCTAAAACACGCGTTTACTTACCTCTAACGACAGCTACGGCTGTAAATAATCACCCGGGCTGTTGGGAGTGTGAGGTGTTGCCGTTATACATCCTCCCAACATGATCACTCTTCCTTACGGCCAGCGAAATAAAGAATGCTTCATCCTCCCCCAGAAGCACTCACTCACTGTTTTACCAGCTCTGTGTGATGGAAAGAGCTTAGACTCTGGGAAATGTAACTGTATAACCACAACGCAGTCTTAACTGCTCCCAAACTATTAGAAGCCTTTTTAGAAAAACAAGGCACAGCACTTTGGTAAACGTTTGTAATGATTTTGCATGAAATGTGACACAGTTACACATCGGTTACTTTATGACTCGTGCATTTGTTTCCACTCCCACATTTCCCTTTATATGTGATGTGAATCATTCAAATGTTGTAGCAGGAAGAACGCCATTTCATCTGTGATGTGTAAGCAAATTCCTCGTGATGTTCCACATGGGGCATCACTTGCCATTACCTACCTGGCTTTTATAGGCAGTTCATCATGCACAAGTTATTGAGCTCCTGGGTACAAGTCCTTGCCGGGATGTCTAAAAGTAATTAACTCCAAGCTAAGAGTCCTTTTTGGCTCGACTTCAGCTGAGATAAAGAAATAAAAAATAAATGCAGGGAGGCTCTAGAAAGGAGCCATTTTACATGCGATAATATTTCATCATGCATTCTTGCACTTAGGAACAGACAGAGACGTGGTTAGCTGGCACAGCTCCATGAGGCACATGCCAAGGATCCATATGCCGATGCTATAGACAAGTCCAGCAAACTGCCTCACTGTTTGTAGGACAGACTCTGGGTGTTATTTATCTGCAGCAGAGGATTGATGGACTGAGTGTGTTTACACTGTTCTTCACACCATTCCACTCAGATTTTAGTGATGCCCAAATGTGCCGAGTAAAATGTTGCTGTTGTAGTAAAGTGTTGCCGATGGTCTGTTTCTTCAGGTCGTTGTCCTATATCATGTGTATGGGCTGTTTGTCTTTCCTGCTGCTGGGAGGCATGTTCTTCGTCGTCGATATCAAGGGCTGGTGGGGTGGACAGCCATTCATATACCCAGGTATGTTTCTTCTTGTACTGACAGGCTGCTTTACAAAGGTGTATGTGCTTTGGTTGGAATAAAAACCTCACAAACGCTGGAACGTAGTTTAAAATATTGACTACAATGACAATTGTGTTTGGCAACTCATTAGCTGATTATGCAAAGACAAACATTTTTCAGCCTAATATAACAAATGTCCTGAAAGCCTTTGTAGGGATTATAGTCTAGGTTTTGGACTTGTGGTCCTCACTCTTTTCTTCCAGTAATTTTTTGCATTATTGGCCAGACTCCCAGAGAAGAGTTTAAACTGATTAGCTCATTTGGAAAGCTTTTTGGAAAGCATCCCTGCAATAAAGCCTTTACTTTTTGCACATAACTTTAGTCATTCAGCTATTATGGAAAGCAGGGAAAAATCCTTTAAATTGTATAAATCCTGTTCAATAACTTGTCTTTTTTCCACCCCTCTTCCACAGGGATGAACTCCATCTTTGTGTATGTTGGCCACTCTCTCCTGGGCTTCTACTTCCCTTTCAGCTGGGAAATGCGCTTCCAGCAGAGCCACTGGGAGTGGCTCTTTCAAAGCCTGTGGGGGACTGCACTGTGGCTGCTCATCGCCTACCTGCTCTACAGGAAGAAATTCTTCCTCAAAATATAAGCAGGATAATCCCACTTCTGTAGATTGTATTATTTTATATTTTCATTTAAAGGCAGCCTCTAAAGCTAATTTTAAACTTTTTTTTAAATTTTACTTTACTAGAGTATATTATAATCCTTATTTATGTTATACTGGAATTTAGTACAATGGATCCTTACTTTAACTTTCTTCTGATTGGCTGCTCTTTGTAAATAGTAGGTGTGGACAGCTGGTGGGCGGAGCTTCCATGCTCACAGCCAGAGCTGTGTGTGTCTCTCTGACATCATGCAGACCTGATAATGGAGAAAAACTATTAGAAGCTCAGAAACATTAGGGGCAGTCTGAAGCCTGGGCTTTTGGCTCAGGGATGACGTGTATGTATGTTGACCTAATATAATATGAGCTACTAAAATTATTATGTTTTTCTTTTTAAAAGCACTCTTATCTGTAAATTATAGATTATTAGAGCATCTGTGGGAGTTTAAAAGAGTTTTTAAAATGAGCTGCTGGTCTAGGCTTAATTAGTTTAGTTTGCTTTTCTTAGATGAAAACTTACCACACATGATTTTTATCAAAAGCAAGATGCAGAGCAGTGTAAAAAATGTGAAAATGCTGATCAGTGAAACCCATTAAAGCACTGTCCTGTTTCTAAAGAACATGTCTGACGAGCTGTCAGTGTGGGCAGCTAAGGATTCATTTGATAACACTTGTTTTATGCTCAGAATAGACTGATTAAATTAAATATATTGAGGTGGTACTTAACAAATTAGGCCAAGTGATTCCACTACACACCAGGACAACCATTATGAGTCTGTTGCCATGGCCACTCGTCCTGTGTGCATGTGTGTCTCTGTGTATGTACCATCTGCTGTCCAAGTCACAGTACTATAATTGGGGTCAAGATGCACACAGAGGGGTGTCATCAATGGGGCCGTCACCTTTTGCACTTATTTCATTAGAAAAATCAGGGAAATTACACAAATCCATTTCATCAGACGAGCCCCTCTCAGAGACCCCGAGCCCTTTACATGTGTTCTAGTTTGCACATTTCACACTCGAAGCCTCTTACTTAGTGAAATAGGGTTCATTCTCAGTAATAGATCAGAATATTTCCTCATGACTGACAAGCAGGTTGAGTGATTTATATCTGTATGTATAATGTATATGTACCATTATTGAACGTGCTCAGGTCAGTGTCCCTCAGCATCAGGTCAGGTGGCGTACATCATGAAATGACCATCTAGTTAATGAAATGAAACGGCATCAAGCTCCTCTTCCTGAGTGAAATCCTATTACACACTCTCCAGAAGCAGTAATAACATTGTGTAATATGGTGTAGGGGTTTTGGTAATTGTCTTATGAGCACAAGTTATTTGAATCCCAGAAGGTGCATCTAGCCTTCCTGAACAAGACTCAAATCCTTAATTGCTTTCCAAACTATGGTGCCAGCAATGGAACTGAACTGCTGATTGGTCGAGAGATGAAAATGAAATCGATATACACTCACCACACAGGTCTAAAGATATCTTTTGTGTTTTGCATGCCATGAGAAAGCTTTGTGTTTTAATAGAAGCATTTAGCTGACTCATTCGGAGTAACATCACGAGGAGGTTAAAACCTATTACGTATCGAAAGCTGCTGCCAATAAAGATCAAAGGGGTCAAAACAAGAATCTATGCTGCCTTTTTTTTTTTTAGCCTAGTGCATTTTTTTAAAACTTGCTTAAAGCACATAGAAAACCATTGTGGTTGCAGATGCCATGTCCACACCACCATATTTCCTCCTCTTTATTGATTCTCGTTGAGCATACGTCTCAGGATACCTATAGTCTGTCATATGGAAACATTATCCCAGATACAATACACTGTCCTCAGGCAGACTTCTTGGCTTCTTATATCACATAATGCCCCTTGGTACAGCAAGTAGCATTACATTTGAATAAACTGCTTATCATGTTATTCAATAATACAGAGAACCCCCAACAATCATATGACCCCCTTTAAGCAACGCTTTGGGAACAGTAGGACGGAAATATTCCCACTAACAGGAAGAAACCTCCAGCAGAACCAGGTTCATGGTGGCGCAGGCGTCTGTTGTGACCAGTTAGAGATGAGGGGAGGAAGACAAGACAAAGATGTGCCATTTAAGAGAGCCAGAGATGAATAATAACTCATGATTATGTGCAGAGGTGTATAAAAACATAGCGAGCGAAAATGAAACATTCAGTGCATGGTTGGATTCAGCGTCACCTGATCCAGCCCTAACTATATGCTTGATTACAAAACAAAGTATTAACAATAACACCAATTTCACAGGTTACTCTTTTCGTATCAAACGTACAGAAGCATACAACCTATCTAGCTTTGTTAAAAAGCCATCTCTTTCTTTACAGCTTCACAGCTAATTTTCTCCTTTAACCTCGCTGTGATCACCAATTTAAGGGCATATTGTCTTTAAAGTCTTCTTTAAGATACTGACGGCTCAGAGAGGGGAGGTGAAAATGTAAGCACCGTAAGTAGCAGCTATTATATTTTCTCCCAGTTGGTGAAAGTTAGTGAAGCGTCTGAGAAAGCCCCCTTTATCTTCTGTAGCCCAGTGAGCCTTTGTGTTTTTGCTCCATGCAGAGACATTGATTGGAAAGACACTGCTGAGAGAGTGACTGGTGTCCTGGCCCGAGGCTGCAGCAATGCATCACTCCACGCTATCTCCTCACTGTTCAGTCACACAGAGATCCCGCTCTTTAACACACCCTCAGCTTCTGACATACACGCACACACACTCAGACCTGAGAGAGGAACGGTCCCACATCATTTAACCCCCTGATTTCATTCCGGGACTTTGATCCAAAGACTGCAGAGGACTTCTACTCAGCTGGGGAGTGTTAATTATCCACATGGAGTACTTAGATGCAATAAAATGTGTAGGCAAACCCCCCCAAAAACAACAACTTAGCCCTGTCACTTCACTGGCGGGAGTTTCACTTAATTCTTGCCACCAACTGGAACATTGTGCTCAAAGTCTATTTTTTATTCAACCGAATTAAACAAACGAATTCATCGAAGCTACTTCAAGCTTAGCAAAATTAAACAAAAAGGCACAATTACAATTATCACACGGCTGTTATAATGAACCGGTTACTAAAACGAGCACACCTGATGCCCACCTTTAAAGAGCGCCTGTGCCTTTAAAGTGAACCATTACGCGCCCAGTCATAATTGTTAATAATTACGCCCCACCACCTCCCCCGCGCAGAGCCTTAATGAGATGACTGACCTGCTGTTAAATTATGCTCTTAAATTTCCTGTAGATGCTATGCCGCCTTGCTTCTGCGGAAGCAGCGGGGCAGTGAGTAGTGAAGCAGTGAACCTCCTCCCCCCCACCTCCCCCCACCAGACCAGCCAGTCAGCCCAGCAGCAGCCTCTGTAGCCTCAACACAGCAGCCCGTCTATGGGACACTGAGGACTTCATCTGGACGCAGAGCGCGCACTGGTTTATACCCCCCATCTGTGTATATTTTATCGGTTTGATTATTGTTCTTGTTATCATTATTATTATTTAATTTTCGCCCAGAGGAACTTTTTTGGATCGTCTTTTCATTCAGAAACTTTCACCTATGGTTCGCGAATATGGGGTCAAGTTGTGGTTTCTCTCGGGGAAACATCGTTGCGCTGTTTCTGCTGCTGCTGCTGGAAGGTAAGGTTCATCATCAGCTCTCCTGTCACTGGAAAAGGGTGAAGGAGCGCACGATGAAGTTGCAAACTAATGCTAAATGTTGCACTAGTGTGATGCGTTTTTGAAAACAAAATAAATGCTCTGGTCTTAACTATTAATACAGAGGAGACGATTTAATGTTCGCTTCTTATTTTAAACGCGTTCATCCTTAGTAGTATAAATTATTCAGACAGCATTAGCTTTAGTCTTTGAGTTTTTATCTCCGACTCTTACTGACCTTTCTGCCAGAGAGACCGTTTAGCGCAGAAGGAATTAAAATATGTTTATTTAAAAATTATATTTAGTATCTGCAAAGCTGGCCAAGGTGAAGAGAAATAGGTGCTGCCACAGAGCGAGCCACTGAACATGAAGTCTAGATTGCAACTGACAAATACACAGGGCTGCTCAAGTGAAAAGCTAAATTGCAGCATTTTGGAAGCTGAGTGATTTTTAAGGCCTTTTTCCCCCTACGAAGTATCTGAAAGGGCACGAACACAACGCCAGCACTGTGGCACACAGCAGAAAAGTGATCCTTGCATTGTGCGCTGGCTATGCGTGGCATGACAACAATGAAACGTAGAGTACAATGAATGCAGCCATATATCATAATATTATAATCCCGTCCACAATCCCACAGCCCAACTGCACTAACACTGCCCTCTCATGAAGTCTATATTTAAAGTGTCCCTCATAGTTCAGGACTGTGCCGCCAGTATGTCAGATGTAATGCTCGAACAAATACGGGGTGTTTTTTGGACTTCAGAGGTTACTATCAGTGCTTGTATATAGGGAGGCAAACAAGCATTATGATCAAAGTCTTTGAGTGGATCTGGGATGTATAAAAAGATGTTCATTTGTACGTGTATGGAGCACTGCTGTTTTTTCCTGCAATAAACTACAGGCCTACTTAATCACCCAGGGGAGCAGTTTTCTGCAGAGTAGTTAAAAAGATTAATGCAACTGTTAAGGTAGAACACTTTTATGCAGTGTCCTCTGATTATTTTTTTCACTGTTACACGCGCTGTTTAATCAGTTCATAGTGCACACACAGTCAGTCACACGCATGCTGTTCTTACAGACCTTACATGCATCCACATGGCTTTTCCTGCTGGGCTCTGCTTGCACAGTCACCGAAGCAGGCGTTTCTCCTGATATTTATAGAAGAAAAGGGCTGGTCTCGTTGCACTTCACGTGTCAAGGACGTGTTGGTAATTAAATGGGTGCTGAAAGCTGCACCCTACGTGAATGTGGTGCCCATCACCTGCCTGTTTGTTGCAACAAAAGACCTACACTTGTTCAGGGAGGAGAAGAGGCGAGCCATGGGCAGGTGTGCAGCAGCTGCTCCTATCTCTGGGCAAACACTGGCTGTTTGTTTTCTTCAGGAAAATATCGCCTGTTATGCAAGCGGACGGGCCGCTTGGGCTGCTGCCGGGCTTGCCACAAAGTGACATAGTCTGATTTTACCGGATCGATGATTGTTTTTATTTTACCCCACTTTGTGAGGATGTTCTGCCTGTTGTGACTCCTTTAAAACATCTTAAATCACTAAATGTTTTTTACATATGAGTCAAGTTTCCAAGTAAATGAGTCATGTTGTGATGCACTTTTTGCATCACATTACGTCTAATGTGGATTTTTATTGCTGTTTGAGTCACTGATTGAATCTAAAGAATATTTTTGCAAATTTTTGCTCTAAATTTCAGTGGTACTACTTTGGTAAGCTCTCTGCAGTTTTACCAGAAGGTGGTAGACGGTTTTGTGGTCTGGTGTGAACTTATCCAGCTCCAGCTTAGCATTGAGAAAGGAGTTAGCAGTGGCCTCGAAAAGATCGAGGACTCCTATCATTCTTGTATGTTATATGAGGGATGGTGGAAATGAGGAGGGCAAATAACTAGAATAAAATGAAATTCTCTGTCCTGCTGAGGCCCTTTTCCTTTACTGTATCTGAGACCATGATTTAGATATTTTTTGGAGTTCAAACTCAGAAGTCTCCCTCATTTCAGAGAGGAAGATATTGCCAAAAATGTATCTTCAATACGGACAATATATCCCACCCTGCACACTGTTCCGCTTGCCAGACTAAGACTAACTAAATGCGCCACTGGATGCCATTGGAGGTCTTTCCTTCCTGTGATCGTCCACTCATGAAGTTCCACATAAATATACATATGCATTTGTCAATTTAGTTTAACTTTAGTTTTTCTGATCTTCAATGTAATTGTACAAATGGCACAGTCATGAATGGCTATTACAAAGGAATTTCCCGGTGGGGTTTATATAACTCCTGCTCCAGGTTCCAGTTTACTGATTAGTTTAGTGTTTCTCGCTGAGATCATCAAACAAAGGAAATTGGCAATCAGTGCTCACTTTTGTAGCAATCAGCATTTTTAAATGTTCCTGAGACATTGCCCTGCACTTAAGACCAAAGTAAAGTAGTTCAAGACATAAGCTCAAGTGAACTGGGAGCTGGGACGCCTCTATTCATTGTTCTTTATGAGGATTCCCATTAGCTGCCACTAAGGCTGCAGCTGCTCTTCTGTCTCTGTGCTTACTTTGTCAGAGATCGTGCAGTCACATGCACTTCTGTGTGAACAAAAAAGGCCAAAGAAAGGAATATCTGGCTCGTCGTTACTTTGTTTTTATTTACATTTTGAGGAAATCTGGAGAGCTTACTGAAACAACCCTTTATTAATTAGATTAGGCCTTCAGTATCAGCTGGCAGCTTTATAAACAAAGCGTTTGGAGTTGAAAATACATTTTGTGACGGAACCTGGTCAAAGCCAAAATCCACTCCCCCTTTTTAACACACACATTTGTGTAATCTCTTGCACAAAAAAGTGCCACAGATGTTTTCACGTAAAAGCATTGATCTGTTTTGCTTCCACCGTGACCTTGTTACGGTATCTCTGACCCTTCCTCGCCCTCTGACCGGTGAAACCATAACATAGTGATTTGGTGCTCCTCCTTCCCTTTAACTCAAAGCGATCATTTTCATCAGCATCTTTTCCTCTGGAGAAGTACCAGACCAACAGATCTCATTTGATACGTGGTGCTATTGGATTTAGCCCCTTACAGCATGATATAATTAAGTAAAGCTTCTGTCTTGTGTTCCTCATGGATGCATGATAAATATTGTCAATTTTCCACGCTTGTTGTCACTGTGTTTATTTGAGTGTGAGTGGGAAACATCATTATGCAAGTAGATTAGATCTTTTTTACCGAGCTACGTCAACAGGAGTGCTTTTCTTTTTTGCATCTTAGAAAAAACATATTGTGATTCTTAAAACTTGCTATAACAAAAAGTTTCTTTTTTATTTTCAAAATGTGGCATACAACAGACTATATTATTTTGATTCAAAACCAGAGCTAGCTGGCGTGTTCCCTATTTTTTTTTTTTAAGCTCATGAGCGACAGTAAACATGCTGTCAGCGACAGACGCTCTGATACCTGTTGGAACAGCTGCAGCACTTTAGGCTGCTTTGTCTTCTCCCGATTTTCCCACTTTATCAGTCACAAGACTCTCATCCTTCGAGCTTCCCAGCCAAAGTGGACCCACGGTTTTTGAAATAACTTTCCTCCAAATCACTGCTACTGCCTTGAGACTCCTGAGAGTCCCGACCTCTAATCCTAGGCTGCCATTTCTGCCGTCGCACGGATGCCGCTCCTACCTGTCAAACCCCTGTGTCTGATCCTCTAGTCAGTTCAGGGTCACACTTTGCGCTCATGCATGGGTAGAATCTAATTTGCTGTGGTGAAAGGACAAGGAGACATTGATTGAGATTTTACCCTCGGGGCATTTAGTCCTCTGGTTTCACATGGGTCTTGACAAGTTGTTTTCCAGTCGTGCAGCAGTGCACATCGTGTTTGACCCGTCATTACAACAATCAACAAGCACAGGCCCTGCTTATCTGAGTCCACATGGTGTGTGTGACACTGCAAAAATGGGAGTGACTCTACTGCCATACTGGTGCCAGAATCAAATTTGCACATTTATTGCAATCTCTCTAAAGAGACAAACCATAATAGTGGAAAATCTCCTTAAATTAACATTTTCCATAAATGCTGCTGATTCATACTTATGTTTCTGTTTTCCCCCATCCTCTTCCAGCCCCACTTTGGCATCCATTTTTTTGGTCCTTCTTTTTACTGAAATGGGTAAACATGCTGGAAATCTTTTTTCCGTCCTCTCCAACCACCTGCCAATGCCAGAAACTCTGAAAGCTCCACTTCCCTTTGTGCTGGTAGTTCAGCGATCTCCACTCCCCGGCATAAAGCAGCGACTCTCCCCTTGTTTCCAAACTGCAATCCACCAGATTCAGTCATGTTAGGACAGTTGTAACAAGCAGTCATAGTCTAGCAGTGCGAATAGTGGCGACTCATCTTAGCAGTGCCATTTAATGACGCTGGTGCATTGATGATTCCCACAATTAGGACATCTTATATATTAATGCATTTTTGCTGTGTTTGCTTCTGAAACAACAAGACTGTTGATGCTTCTGATGCACAGTATGTGTAAGTGATACACATGACTGTGTTCAGCCTTGTTAGTTTTTCTCGCACTGCAGTGTTGCTCTGTTGTTTTTGCCTGCTCATTTTGCACCTGACTAAAATAATCTAACAGCTACTTGATAGATCGCCTTGGAAATGTGTACAGACATTCATGGCTCTGAGAAAATGAATCCCGATGATCTTAATGATCCCATGATTATTATTTTTTTGGTTTGCTTTATTGAGCACAATAATTAGGTCAAGATTTTAATTTGTCCAGTAACTGCACAACTAATGACATTTCCATCAATCTCAGACCGTATTTAGCACTGATTAGAAGATGCTACAATACAAACACTGGCATTGTCACCATGATGCAGCGTTACTGATGTTAGCATTCAGAGTACAGAGTAATGCTAAATGTAGATGATAAATACAGTCTCAAAGAGCTGGTAGCATGAGTCTAGACTGCTTGGTGTAGTGTTAAAAAAGGCTGTAAAGCAATTCTTTCCCAAATCTGGTACTTTAAGCGAAACCCTTTATGAAACCTGTGGCTGTGAGCTATTTATGCAAATATAAATAAGCTCTCTGTGTTTTGACACGGGCATTTAGAGTATTTGCCTCCTTCTGTGTACATGTCAGTAAATCTGATGGCTTTTTACCACTGCTGTGGTGAGGGTAGATGATTTTATCAAAGCAACCTAATGACTGCTTCATCAAACTCAGTCTGGAGCTCCATGATGTACCACGTGTTCAATTTTTGATGCCACAGTCCTCCCCAGAGGAATCCTTAAACTGAATTTGTACTTGCAGTTAACCCCTAAGGAGAGGTCCTATTAGATTTCTTGATGACTGATGAACATGGTTCATTGGATCTCAGCTCTTGTATTCTCTGGGGAATAATTGGATTACATTATGTGGTAATTGATTATTATGTTACGGTATGCATCATGGTAATCTGAGTAATCTACCTGGAGCCCGGCTGCCTTTTCCAAACTCAGATCAGCTATCTTATTAATTGGATGAAAACTTCAACGTCTGTGTCATTATGACAGGAAATGACTTTCTTTCCTTATTACACGTGTTGTTTTGAACGATCGAAAAGCATCAGAGTCGTGCCTATATAAATCCAGGTTCTGAAACCAGTGTGATACGATGAAGCATTTGAGCATAATAGGACAGGAAACAGAGGAGGGGGAAAGATTTCAAAACATTATGATCAATATTAGCTTTCATAAGTGGAATTATAGTCGAATGTGCAGCTTTTTAGCTAATTGAATCTCTGAAGAAAACCATTCCAGTAGCAGCAACATCTCTGGAAGCAGAGCAATCACGATACGTTTCCGAGTGATTATTATTTATATCACCGTGATATAACTGGGTGAACTGCTCCTTAATGTGCCTGGCTACAGCTTCTTTGTAAAAGATGATGGATTCCTTGAAAATGTGGATATTGATGGGCTAAATTGTGGAGCAGGCTGTGAAATTACACGTGCACAGTAGAAGTAATGTTTCAGCGTCCACGCACAAGATGCCTAAGCAACTCCAATATTGTGTTCGGCGGACGTGATTGCACTTGTGCAGCTTTTCTCTCTGTCTGTGTCATCGGTGGAAAACAATCAGCATCACTGTTGATTAGTGTGGTTATTGATTGATATGCTGCCAGATACACTGCCTTTCCAATGGGTCGTTACCAGGGGCAGACGCAGACCTCATTGACCTTGGGAGAAAAAGGGGCACGAAGCTGAGCTCTTACTGTTGGAGGTCCAGACTAAGAACGCAATTATAATGTCAAGTTATCACACAGCAGCAGCCGGGCAGGGTCACGTTTCCTCATCTGCCACGCTGCTGACAAGGATGCTCAGTGAGGACGTCTGTGGGAGATCCACATTTTGTTTCATTGAGGATTGGAGGTAGATTAGTAAGCCAGTGGGTTACTCCAGCACATGAGCTCATAGCTGGTAAATCTATCAGGCGAAGCACGCATTGAGCTAATTGAGTTCCTGTCTTTGTCTGGGACGATGGAGGGCGTCCCACCCCGTCAGCTCAGACCTGTCCCAGACATGCTGTGGTCTGTGGCTGACGGGGAGCGTGGTTTCAGCTTTTGTGATGAGCTTTTGTCCTTTTTGTTCTTTTGCAGTTATAATACGAGACAAAACAAACACACACGCGCCCAGGCACGATTAACTCGTGGAGACTGCGATCGTAAACGACAACCAGGAAGCGCATACGTTTATAGAGACGTAAGAGGGTTTTCCACTGTTTCGTGTTCCTGTTTTTCAGCAGTGAATAAATTCAGTTTCACTATCTACTCGGCGGTACATGATATCTACAGTAAACATGGATTGCTACATGAATTGTCCTGTTTAAACACTCTCTGTTTGCAAAATTACTTTCAAAGGAATGACACTGTATGCAGAAGCTCAGCATGAGTTTTATAGGTGATCGAAGGCTGTAAAACATCTGCTTATGATGCTAATGTTTACACACTGTGAGCAATAACAGGCCAAGGCTGTTCCAAAACAGCCCACTAAAATCCGTAAAGAAGCATGGAAATGAAGCCTCTGCAACGTCTTTTTAATCTTTTCGGTCATTATTTAGACATGAATATAATAGGTGAAAATGTCACCACCAGCTGTATTTCTGCCATTCTTGTGCATCATTTAAGGAAGGTAATGAGTCATGCCTTGGAAAAGCATCATCATGGCTTCACAGACCAAAGATGCCATTTGCTCGGATGGGCCTGCTTGATGCATTCAATTAATTAGTTTTGATATAAACTGCTTGCTTTCTGTTGGCTTCTGTCCTAGAAAGAAATTGAATTTTGAATGATATAAACGAATTGTGTTGCAGGGGGTCCGGCCACTGTGGCTTGCAGCCAATGCCTGCCTTCATAAATGTGTTCAGCTCCCGCTGGTTAACACGTTGGACCATGTAGCTTTATTTGCAGAGCTGCTGTCATCTGCTGTATTCAATTTGTGGCCGTAGTCTGTAAGATTTCTGTAGATTAATTAAATTGTCTGTATGCATCCGATGAGGGATTGTAGAGAGTAGTGGGAGTCTTTTCTGACCTGTCAAATAGAAATGAGTCCAATCATTTAACATCTTATCCAAGCAAGCAGTAGAGACATTAGAGCAGTAATATATTATGATAATGATTAAGCTGCTTTTCGAGCCCGTGTCACTGTGATAACAGCTCCCTCTAATGGTTGTTTTGGGTATACAGTTGAAGCCCTGATGCTCAGATTACGCGTCTTTTAATGTGTTTCATACCTTTTAACTGTATAAACTGAGTATAATTACAACCTAAAATAATCTGTGGACAATTCTTTACTTTTTTTCTATTTTTTCCCTCAAATTTTTTGTACAATTTCTCAGAAATCTTATATGCATCATGAAGCCAATTACCTATTTCAGACCTTTTCATGGTATGAAATAGTAAAAATCAGCTAAGATACAATGGAAATATAATAAAATACAGTCAATAGTATGAGTGTGAATGACTGCATTTTGGCTGTAATAGATTTAGGGGATGGAAAAATCATCCCTAGTCATGAAACCGGCTCCCACCATCACCAGCAAGATTAACAAACATGAGCCCTGCTGTTTGTTTTGCCTCCGGAACACTTTTAATAAAAAGGTCTGCAGCCTCATTGAGCGTATCTCCATCCTTGAGGAAGGACGGCCACATTTTATCCATCAGCTCGGCCTCCTGTCATCTAAGCCCTTCAAAATTAAATCAATGTCTGAAACCAGAGCCGAGGCTTCAACTGCACCAACAGAAATAGAAAATCTAGTTTTGCTGTCTGCTAATGACATTAGTGCGTTCCCTAAATGGTCGCCTACCGTCATCAAAGAGGAACACAACAGGGATATAATTACAGAAGGAACACTCGCATCTCCATTTTCTTGTAAAACACACACGCAGCCTGCTATTTTGCTTTATGGATTACTCGTCAAACCCCCCCAACACACACACACGCACACACAGACTTGCAGGCAGTGATACGTGTCTCCTCTGTATCATGTTATCCCTTGTAATTAAACTTTTCAAGGTGAACACAAGGAGAATCGGAAACCACATGTTATTGACCACATGAGAAATTCATTAAAGGAGCTGCATAAGTGTCATTTGAGCCCTGCTTTCAATTTCCGCTAACGTGGGAGAGAGATGAAAGATATATTAGAAGATTAAAAAAAAACCTGGACCTGTCATAGTCCATGTATGTGTTGATTTCCATTCAGTGCCCAGATGGCATTGTCAGTGGGTATTGTTGACTCAGTTAAACATCCAGAAAGAGATGTGTGATATGCTGTCATCAGCATCTGCAATATAATCATGCCTTATTTTTCAGTTATGGTAACATTTTCCTTAAAAGCAATAATAATAACACTTTTCTCCTGTGATTCGTTTGGCTGCCAAATTTTAAACATCTGGTTATTTCATGTCCACTTGGTGCAGGAGCGACGTGTCTGTACTTCCCTCAGAAGGAGTACATTGAGACTGTATATGTTGGCCAGCAGGCCGGGACGCCCATTCTCCAGGTCCACGCCATGCGGGACGATAAAACTGAGAAGCCACACTTCTACCTGTGCCCAACAAAGACTGCCACGCCTCCACACTACAGCTCCTGGTTCTACATGAACATCAACACCGGGACACTATTCTTGAACAAAACCCTGGAGGAGAGCGACTTTGCCCAGCTATGTGAGTTGGATACAAGGCTTTTGATGGTAATGCACAGTCCTATTTCAGTGCCAGGTATTCGCTACACACAAGAGTAAATTAGTTTCTAGACATTTATGCTCTTCGCATACCAATAATGCTCTGGCTTCGAGTTCAGGATGATAATGTGATTGCATAAAAGCAAAGAAGAGCTGTGTCATCAAAAAAAGCACTGTCTGAGATTAAAATGCCTCTTGTTTTTGTTTTGGCTCTGTGTCCCATCAGATCAAAGGTCGTGGTCTGTGAGAAAGTTATTCCTGAATGCCATGGTGCGATCTGAATTCACCAACAAGCCCTTTTGCCCCACGCGGAAACCTGTGCAGATCAACTTGGACTTTGTCAATGCCACATTGCCTCAGTGTGCTCAGACAGATACGAAGGAACTCTGCTTCCCACACAGAGATACGTCCAACCCACACATCATGGAAAACAGGTTCCCAGGAGCCCTGCGGCAGCTACAGCGTCTCACCAGACTCGATGTCTGCCCCAACTACACCATCTCTTACAGTGTGGAATCAGGTTAGACACATCGGACCAAAAACATATTATCTTGTGAAAGGAGAAACATATGTACAACTACATGTGTATGCATGTATGTATGCATGTACAGTATATGTATGTATGTGTGTATTACCCGCCAATATAGTCCATCATAGGATAATCAGAATTAGTGTTTTTACATTTTGGCTGATGCCGGCAGCATCCCGTGAAGGAGTGGGGGCCATTTTCAACCAAAATGCTCATTTTTTTTAGTTGTAATTTTTTATGTTTTAAATATCAACACTTAGAGTTTCAGTTTCAACAAACTTTTTCAAATGAATGAAGCTTTTGACCCTGGTTTAGCTCCATTGAGATGTTTTACGATGCTGCTTTTATGTCTTATTCAGTACGCCACCTGATTCATGAAGTGGTCGCGTCCACATGCAGGCTCGTTTGTTCGATTGTTTTGTTTAATTTTGTTCCTTTTTTCTGCAGACCCTCCGGGACCTTTTGCTGTAAACGACAACAAAGAGCTGGTGGTAAACGCTCAGCTGGACCGTGAGGAGAGCGAATGCTACAGACTCCTGCTGGTTTGTAACGTCCAGTCAGAAACCACCATCATCAAGGTGGAAACGACGCTGAATGTTTTTGTCAATGATGAGGATGATAACGCGCCATATGTGAACGGAACAGACTCGGCAGACATAGTCATCAGCTATAATCGGATGAAGGTGATTGTGTTCAGATGCGGTGTTGGTTAAGTTCATGTTTACATGAGGCTTGAAATTTCTCAATGTGACTTTTTTTTTTTCAGGGTGGAATTTTTGGCTCCTTGTATGTTTTTGACAGAGATCTAACCCCGATCTTAGACGAAAACCACAATAAGTATGTGGGGACTTGGCTCAACACTGACCCATGGGTAAAGGAAACATTTGACATAAAAAACTCCTTCACTGAAAAAAAAGCCAAAGGCATTCGAGAGACTGTGCACAACTACCGTAAGTACTCCAAGGCTGCGCGCGAGAGAATTAGTTACATTAGGAGATGAGGTTTTTCACGATTTCTCTTGATTTCAGAGCTGGTTCTGCAGAGGAACCTGCACGTGACAGAGAATCGCACCCTGCAACTCGACTACCTGGTCAATGACACCACCTATCCCGGTCTAGAGGGAACAGTGTTGCTGCACTTCAATGTCACCATCTTACCCGTCCAAATCCACTTCCCCAACGTCACACATATATTCACAGTCTCACGCAGAGCTTCTCCTTATGCACAGGTACTCATGACTGCATGACTGCTTGTCATGCAAACCTTGAACTTTGTGTTTGGTCTAGATTTAGATTAAAATATATATTATTATAAACTTTTAAGAGAGCTGGGATAGGCTCCAGCCCGACCCAAGAATTAGAGTAGAAGAAGATGGATGGATTAATGGACACACAAAAAAAAAGATCTTTCCATCGTGATAGCATCACGGACAGTGACAAAGATATAGTCTGAATCTTTTTAATAATCGTATTCAGGACATAATTAACAAATGAGTCATTGTTGGCCTATGAAAGGGACAAAAGTCATAGGCAATATGAACCATCAGTGGCCTCATATCAGTTTCTTTATACTGAACTCTGACAGAGAGACTTCAAGAAATTGAATTGTAGGCACTTGCTCCATTATGATGCATTGGGAAATGCATTTGATTTGACTAACCCTGCTGTACACTGGCTTTATAAGCCATCACATTGCACATGCTTTAGTACACAGTAACTCACAACTACAGGTCTCTCTGTATGTTTTACAAAATAAAGATATTCACCTGTGTCTTGCTTAAACCAAACCTGTTTACAGTCAGTAGAAGGTAAAACTTCTGGGAGGTTTTGTAGCTTTTATCCATTGATTATTGTTCAGTACTAATCCAATGTAAGTGGCCATCAGTGCAATCCTTTGACATTATAATCTGTTACATTACAATCCTGATAATATTAATAATGATAATACATTTTATTTGTGGTCAGCTCCATTGACCATTAAATCTACAGAGAGACTGCCACCTGCTGGCAGTAAAAAAAAAAAAACATCTCAAATGTTTTCTGTTCATTTTCATACTTTGTAGCAAAAACAAAACTATTTTGCCTATTCTGGCTTTATAAAATGTACCACAATCAGTTTAAATGTAATTATTTGAATTAATGGCAGATTTTGTTTCTTCAGATCATGTAGGAATGAACTAGTAATTTGCATTGCAAAATGTTGTATTCAGTTGTTTACAAAAGGTGTGTGCATTATTCCATCCTTACACTTGTATTCTCCAGTGTCATTCACATTTTCAATCTCTTGTCCCAACTCCTGTCAGGTTGGCAAAATCTGTGTGGAAAACTGCCAGCAGTTCGATGGCTTCAGTGTCATATACCGACTTGAGGTGCCCGATAAGAACATGTCTGCTGACTCACAGGCCTGCTACACAGCCATAAGCATCACCCAATCCCCAGACAGGAAGTGGGGACATCTGTATGTGAATGACTCTGAGGCACTGCGCAAACCCGAGTGCCAGGACTTGCAGTACCTTGTTGTTGCTCAGGAGGGAAACGAACAGCTGGAGGCGAGCACTCAGATCCACATCAAAATAGATGGCGCAGGTAGGTACTACTTCACAGCAAGCACACATGCAGACTATTTTCAAGTGTGTTACCCTGATCTCTAGTGTCCTTTAAAGATTTGGTAATGTGCTCTTTTGGCTTTGCTGTGCGTAGCAATCAAAGCTGGTCAGAAGAGCCAGCAGGTCCTGTCCTGTGCAGAGAACAGGCAGCGAACAGATTGTGAGTCTACCCGAGGCCTGGGGGCAACAACCGGCAGATGCCAGTGGAGGCAGGGCACTGAGAAAGGTACTTTATATTTCATAAAGACAAACTTTTTTCTCCTTAACTTGTAACTTTTTAACATTACTGAATGATTATGAGACCTTGGGAGAAGTTCACTAGAACCAGATGAGTACATGTTTTCTTCAGTGTAAGTAATGAAACAAATTAAAGGGTCATTTTGATCATTTTGCTCCAGGAAGTGGCAAAACATGGTCCTAATTTGGCTGAAAAACGAGTGTGACTAACACCCTACGGTTGCTAAAGCAAGCCAACACTGTGGTGCAGGCTGCTGTTAAAACCGTTGCATGTTGCAGTGTTAAGGACGCATGCAGTCAGGTTAAGACAACTTTTGAATGGGTTTTTGAATGCAAAGTACTTGCAGTTTGGTTACCAGTCTTGGCTGTTTTTCCCCTTGTTTCCTGCTGAGGTTTCTCTTTCTTTTCTTGTGTTCATATTCCAGGAATAACTGAAAATTATTCAACATGCTCCCCTGACCTGCAGACATGCCCAGATAGTGTTTGTGATGCAGTGGAAAGTAAAGATCCTTCAATCTGCCCGCAAGACTGCACAAGTATGCTTTCCCTTTTAACACACATGCGGTGTATAACAGCGAGAATAAGACCATTCTGCTTTATGTAGACTGTGCTCATGCTGGATTTGTCTCTGCAGAGGAGCCTGTTATTGGAGGCCATGAACGAGGCTTGAGTGGGATTAAGGCCTGCTATGGAACCTGCTACTGCTTCACAGAAAGATGCTTCTGTGAGAAGGATGACATTGAGCGTGAGTTTCCCTAAACCACACAGAACTGCTGCTGATTAACTCACTCCGTTTTAACTCTGAATCAGCAAAGCACTGAGTGCTTCTTTCTTTAAAACTGTGCAACGTACTCTCTTCCAGAGACGCTATGTGATGAAATGTGTAAGACCGTCATTGCCACAGCTCTTCTCCTCTCCTTCATCGTGTCCATCCTCCTGTCCTCATACTTCATCCGCCGATACCACAAGAACTCGCCAAAGCCCCCGATAGCATCTGCTGAGATGACTTTCCGTCGGCCAGCTCAAGCCTATCCCATTAGCTTCCCTGCCAACAATGTCCGCCGGGGCTCGCAGGAATCAATTGAGACCGAAACCTTTAAAATACCTGTAAGGTTCTTCCAGCACTTTCATTCCCTGTGTCTCATATGTTGAATCTTTTGAGAAGTACAAACCGGCATTGCTTTGTCTCAACAGGAGGATCCAAAGTGGGAGTTTCCTCGTAAAAACCTTGTGCTTGGCAAGACGCTGGGAGAAGGAGAGTTTGGGAAAGTTGTCAAGGCAACAGCATTCAGGCTGAAAGGAAAAGCTGGATACACCACTGTGGCTGTGAAAATGCTTAAAGGTAAAAGTACCCAGGCAAAGGCCAGACAAGCCTAGCAGCACTTGTGATATATGAGCAGTGAATGTCTGAAGAGTTGAGTGGTTTCATCATTATGATCCCCCTCTTTTCCTCCGTGACAGAAAACGCCTCGCACAGCGAGCTGCGTGACCTGCTGTCAGAATTCACTCTGCTGAAGCAAGTCAACCACCCGCACGTCATAAAGATGTACGGAGCTTGCAGCCAGGATGGTAAGACCTCCGTCTTCCTGCCATCCCATCCCAGAACATGCGTGTTGCACATTGAGTCTAAGAGCCCTGCTTCTCTGAATAGGTCCATTGTATCTCATCGTCGAGTATGCCAAGTATGGGTCACTCCGTAATTTCCTTCGTGAGAGTCGGAAAGTTGGCCCGAGCTATATGGGCAGGGATGCCAACCGAAACTCAAGCTACCTGGAGAACCCAGACGACAGGGCTCTCACCATGGGTGACCTGATCTCCTTTGCCTGGCAGATTTCCAGAGGCATGCAGTACCTGGCAGAAATGAAGGTATAAGGCCAAGCTGGTGTTTTTCTTTGTAAAATATTTGAACAATTCAGTGGAAGATTCATTGTAAGAAGCTTAAATGTCTGTTAAAGAAAAATGTGAGGCGCTTTAAATGAGTGTGCTGGTCCAACAGCTTGTCCACAGGGACCTTGCAGCACGAAATGTCCTTGTTGCTGAAGGGCGGAAGATGAAGATCTCTGACTTTGGCCTGTCCAGAGACGTGTATGAAGAGGACTCATATGTTAAAAGAAGCAAGGTAGAGAAAATAATAGAGAAGAGTAGTTATGATACAGGTACATATACTGATATAGTCACTCAGCAGCATCTCTCTGTATTTTTCAGGGCCGTATACCGGTTAAGTGGATGGCAATAGAGTCTTTGTTTGACCACATTTACACAACACAAAGTGACGTGTGAGTATAATTACGGCTTAAAGGAAATATTCTGACATTTTGGACAACAATAAGACAATAAAGCCCATGAATTAATCAGCATGCTTTTTTTGGGCAAGAACGCAAATAAGGGTGTTTTCCATTTGCAAAAAAACCCCCACGTCTCACTCTTATCTGTTCATAGAAATATTCTTAGGACCTTCTCTATTTTATTCCAGCTGGTCCTTTGGTGTGCTGCTGTGGGAGATTGTCACTCTGGGAGGAAATCCATACCCAGGTATCGCTCCCGAGCGCCTATTTAACCTCCTCAAGACTGGCTACAGGATGGAGAGACCAGAGAACTGCACGGAGGAAATGTGAGCTCTATTCTGTCACTTTATCATATCTACTTTAGCATCTCCTCATTACCATTGAGTGTTATAACTCCCCTGCACCACATTCGGGGGGAAATGACTCAGCAGGGAGGATTAAATGACACTCACTGTATTTCACCCACTTGAACCGTGCTCCTCTTTTCCAGGTATAACCTCATGCTCCGATGCTGGAAGCAAGAACCGGACAAGAGGCAGACGTTTGCAGACATCAGCAAAGAACTGGAGAAGATGATGGTGAAAAGTCGGGTATGTTGAAGCTATAAAATACCTTGCAGTGCTTTATTCGTTTCCCTCCCCGGCAAGGAAGCGGGGGAGCTATAAATCAGCCTCTTTCTGTGTGTTACTGGCGCGATTTTGACAACACTTCAGTGACGATCTGACAGATACAAGTTTGTGGGGTTTTATTTTTCCACTTTCCACTCCTTTCAGATTTGGAGCAAGTCTAAAATAAGCAGTGTATCACTTTTTAAGGACAGCATGTGCTTTGTCCAGCACACACACAGACACATGCTGTGTTATGTTGTATGAACTGTCACTCTCCCCAAATCTCCTAAGATACCATAATTAGTGTTTGAAGAGCAATCCTAAATGTGGCCTTGGGCAGTGTAATCACAGAGCATGCCAGTCAGGCTCCTGCTGCAGAAGTGAGGCTAAATATAGAGCGTTTGAGCAGATGGGAATGCAGGCATCCTATAACGCAGCGGGCTCGTTCTTCACTGTTATCAATACCAGATAATGAGCAAGACTCTGGATGCGGTAAAGAGAACAATTTGGCAGAAATGTCTGCTGGAGCTTGCAGTCAGTGCACGGGTCACTCGTCCGACCTTTGCATGCTACAATTCCCCTCCTCCTTAATCAGCCTAATCACACCTTCATCTGCTGTTGTCAGGATTACCTGGATCTGGCGGCGTCCACTCCAGCCGATGCCCTGCTGTACGACGACGCCCTCTCTGAAGAGGACACACCACTAGTGGACTGTAATAACGCCCCTCTCCCTCGAACCCTCCCCTCCACATGGATTGAAAACAAGCTCTATGGTAGAATCTCCCATGCATTTACTCGATTTTAGAAACAGGACACACTACACAAGCTCTCTTTTTTGGCAAGTTGTGATTGGCTTTTTTTTTTTTTCCCGTAGTCAAGTGTGTGTGACTGTGATCTAGGCATGCCTTTCGCTAATGCTGACATAGCTCCCATTTCATCGTAAATGAGAGGCTCAGCTTAAAAAAAAAAAAAAAAAAAAAAAAAAAAAGCTCCTGTGTCTTGACTTTTTCTTTGTTTTATTCGGACCTGCTTCTAATGTACACAAGCACTGACCAAAAATTGCTATATTTGTAAATATTGAATATAAATCCCCTTCATTCTTATTTATAATCCACTCCTCATACTCATGCTTCATCTGCATTTTTAATTTGTAAATAGTTTTGTTTGTTTCCCCCCATTCATTTCCACATTGTCCTCATCTCGTCATTTATTTGCACTGGAGGAAACGGTGTGTAACATTTGAAACAGGTCCTCACTGATTCAATCACTCATTGTGGTTTGAATTCCAGATTGTGATAAATTTCCCGTCTTTCTAATGTACATTAGCTCTTAATCCATTATGATGAACAGAGAAACAGTAAGGCTTTTGAATGCAACTCTCAGTTGACACTGATTACAAGTAGACACCATGTTGCTTATTGCCCCAAGCGAAATGTAGGGGCAATAGTAACAATGCAGGCTTAATAAATGACAAAAAAAAGGAAAATAATAAATTATATTATCATTTATTCTGTGTCGCATATACAATACAAAGCCATAACTTTACACTTCTCAGAATCAGATCAGGATTTGTTTTGGAGAGTTTTGTTTGAGAACCTTACTGTCTGCACGCTGTTTTTCTTTCACTGAGTGCAGAAAAATGATGTGTTCTCGTTTTTAGGCATGTCATACCCCAACTGGCCCGAGACGAGCCCGGTACTGCTCAACAGACATGATGCCACTAATCCGGTCTTTACAAGATATGCCAATGATAGTGTTTATGCAAACTGGATGGCTTTGCCTTCACCCGCAAAAGCTGTGGACAAGCTTGATAGCTAAAGACAGACCGACCCTGTAGAAAAGACGACTAAGTGGTATAGATGTGTATATTTCTGTAAGACTGTACATAAACGATCTGATGCTAAAGTTGGTTCCCTTTTATTTCTGTTGCACGGGTAAGCAACCTTTCCGACTGGGGTCTTTTTGCTGCACCAGCTGGACCAACATAGACCATGCTTCACTCAGCTCTTCAGTATGTTAATTATTATTACCTCACTGGTTATGTCGGCCAAACTGTATCACTGCATGACTATTGTACCAGATTGTATGTCAGTGTCAATGTCTTTTAAGTGCCTGTGCTGCTTCTACAATAGCTTCCAAATGTTCATGTGTGACTTTGAAGTTTCAAGCCCAGGAATTAAAGGGGACTCCTTTACCATCACCTGTTGTAGAAAGCTGGGATTGAGTGGACAAAAACGAAATGCTGAACTTATTCTGAAAATTTTAAAAATAAAATAAAAAGTTTCTACTTTAGAGGATTGTGCTCCTCAAAATGTCAAAGACCCTTTATTTTGTGTTTCTCCCACGAGGTGTCTTGAAACTGGTCTCACCAAAGAAAAGTAAAGCAGTCATGTTCAGTGAATGGGTTTTTCTTCTTTTGCTCTTGTTTTTTCACATTGAAAACATCATCTTTTGAAGGCCACTCCAGTGAAAGGACACGAGGATTAATGTAGACTTAATGTTATAGTTCACATTGTCCTTCACTGTAATGGCAGCCTTTGTGGAAAAATATG